CGCACGCGCGTCCCAGAGACACGGCGCACGCGCGTCCCGGACAAGGCGCACGCGCGCTCCCCTAGGCTCCACCCCTTCCCCTTCCCAGGAGTCCTAGCCCTCACTTGTAGACGCTCAGTGAGCCCGCGCAATAAGCATGTGGGCGGGGAGTAGTTCTGCGCGTGCGCGCTGCTGCTCATAGCGGGGTTTGCCCATCTGAGGGATCCCTGCGACGCCTCCTAGCGGATCGGAGTTAGAAACACTTGTGGCTGCACTCTCTCCTGAGCATACTAAAATGCAAAGTTGGATGCGCTCCCCAGTGGTAAATATAAAGAACAGCAGCACACTAGAAATAAACACTGCATGCCTGTTATTTAGGTAAAAATACGAAGCTGAGGCACACATTTAAGACATACGGTGTTGGCAACAGGACTGTACAGACTTGGCGAAGTTTTTGTCAATCTTCTGGTTACGGCTGCCATTTAAAATATAGTTTTATGTTAGTTTAAATATGAATTTCTGATGAATATTTCCTTCTGCCCCCTTTTTTTCCGTTACTGGGGAATGAACTCAAGGTCTTTGCACTGGGCTACATTCCCCAGCCCTTAATCTTTTCGACATTCTCACTAAATCGCCTTAAATGGGTTCGAATTTAAGATCCTCCTACCTCAGCCTCAGAGTGCCGGGATTACAAGTGTTCAGCATCGTGACCGTCTCCATACAATACTTCCAAAATCTCATTTTGTGAAGGAAAAAAAAAGAGTCTAAGGGTAGGATATACGTAAGTGAGACTGCTGGATATTCTTTCTTTCTTTTTTTTTTTTTTTGGTTTTTCTCCGGTTCCGGGAACCGAACTCACGACCTTGCGCTTGCCAGGTAGGCGCTTTTGCCGCTGAGCTAAATCCCCAGCCCCTGGATATTCTTTCTTTGCTGCCCTGGGGTTGATTTTCTGTTGACTGATTGATTTACAACCCAGGCAAGAAGGGGTTAACGCTGTAGAGGAAAAGGGCAGAGGTAGAGACCAACTGGTGGCTTTCTGTCTGGTAAAGATGCAAATAATTTCTGTTTGGTGGTCCAGATAACCCTGTAGGTGATGACCTATTGTTCTGGAAGACCTCAATCAATTGGGTCTATTACATCTATTAATATACTGCCTGGCTTGCCTGCCTTCCTCCCTTCCTCCTTTCTTCCTTTTTCTCCTTCCCTCTTTCCTTTCTTCCTTCCCCTCTTCCATCCCTCCCTCTTTCTTTCTTTTTATTGCACCTCTTTCACCCCAGTGATGGGGACAAACCCCGCACTTAACAGGGAGGTAAGGGTTCTGCCACTGAGCCACACTCTCAGATACCCCCAGCCCACCCCAACTTCTCAAATGCCCTTGGAATTTGTTTTATGTATTACATTCTTATTTATTAATTACTAATTAAATAAAATTTTAGTGCGTGAGAAGCACACACTTAAATCTGGAAATCTCAAGTTTTTGTGGAGATGCCGAATGGAATTAGGTGACAGAGTCCGCATGCCGTAAGGGATGTGCTTCATGGGTTAAGTCCAGGAACGTCTTTCATTGTCTTTGAGAGTAAATCCCAAGTGGTTATAGAACCAAGTTTACTTTTTTTTCCTTTAAAAACTTTTGTTTCTGATTCATCCAGGAGCAAGTGATATCTACCCATTTTCTGATATCCTCTTTGATCTTCTTTGTCAGAGTAATATAGTTTTTGTAGTAGACATTTTTCATTTCTTTGGTTAGGTTAAGTCATAAGTATTTCATTTGTCTTCATACTATTGTGAAAGGTATTTATTTCTCTCATTTCTTTCTCAGTGAGTTTATCATTGGTATACAGGAATGCTGTTTATTTTTGAGTGTTGACTTTGTATCCTCCCATGTTTCTGAATTTGCTTATTAGTTCTAGAAGTCTGTTGGTGGAATTTTTGAGTTTTTCTGTGTTAATGATCATGTCATCTGCAAGTAATGATAATTTGACTTCTTCCTTTCCTATGCATATTCTTTTTACATTTTTTTTCTTGTCTGATTGTTCTGGCTAATGTTTCAAGGACTAGATTGAATAGGAGTGGTGATAGTGGACGTCTTTGTCATGTTCCTGATTTTAGAGGGAACACTTTCAGTTTCTCCCCATTTAATATGATGTTGGCCACTGGTTTGTCATAAATGGTTTTTATGAGATCAAGGTTTTCAGGGTTTTTATTGTGAATGAATATTGGATTTTGTCAAAGACTCTGCGTCTATTGAGATGAACATGTGATTTTTGTTCATGCTTTTGTTTATGTGTTATACCATCTTTACTGATTTGCATATATTGAGCCATCCCTGCACGCCTGGAACAAAGCATATTTGGTGATGAGGTATAATCTTTTTGATGATTTGTTGCACTCTGCTTGCTAGTATCTTATTTTGGCCTGTACTTCTCTTTTTTGGTTGGTCTCTGTTTTGGGTGGTTTTGGAATCAGGCTAATGCTTCTTCCAGGAATGACTTTGGGAGCACTCCTTCCATTTTCATTTCATTAAACAGCTAGAGGAGTATTGATATGAGATCTTCTTTAAAGATCATGTAGAATTGAGCAGTGAATTCACTGTGACCTAAGCTTCTCTTGGTAGGTTTCAAAAAATTATTTTTTAAATTTCATTCCTTCTACTGAATTATTCAGAATTTTTATATGTTCTTGGCAGCTTTGGCAGTTCATATGTATTTACAAATTTATCCATTTTTTTCTGAATTCTCCATTTTATTAGAGTGCAGGTTCTCAAAGTAGATGCCAATGATATTTTGGATTTTAGGAGAATTCACTGTGATTTTGCCTTTGTCATTTCTAATTGCATTGATTTGGGTCTTTTCTTTCTTTTGGTAAGATTGGCTAGAGGTTTCATACTTTCAGAGAACTAACTCTTCAATTCTTTGCTTCTTTGTGTTCTTTTTAAGTTTCAATTTCGTTAATTTCTGCTCTGATCTTTATAATTTCCTTCCTTGTACCAGCTTTGGATTTGGATTGTTCTTGTTTTTCTAGAAAGGTGAGGTGTGTCATTAGGTTATTTATTTGGATTCACTTTGTTTTCCTGGTACGGACATTCACAGTTATAAGCTTCCCTCTTAGGAATGCTCCCTTGTGCCCCATAGGTAGTAGAGTGTTGTACTGGCACTTTTGTTTAATTCTAGGAATTGTCTTATTTCTTCCTTGATTTCTTCTGTGACTCATTGATTATTCAAGAGGATATTGTCTAATTTCTCTAATTTCTGTTGTTCTTTTTGCCATGGATTTACGTAAATTTTTTTTATCAGTACAGTTTTGTAGTACACAATGTTTACATTCCTTGTGGGGAATTGGTACAAGTACAATTCCTTTTTTCAGTCCCTTTCCCTTCCCTCCACTCCCTCCATTCGTGTCTTGATTCCCTTTTCTGGGTACACGTTTGTAATACATGAAGTTTACATTCCTTATATGGAGTTGGTGCATAAACACAACACATCTTCCTTACTTTTTCACCCCCTTTCCTTCCCCTCAGGCATTTTTGTAGTACATTTTCCTTCCCCTCCCTCCACGATTTGGTCCCTTTCCTCTTTTAGAAAGATCTACCTCCCTACTCTCTATCACCTGTCTTCTATGTTGTTCTTTATTTGAATTTTGGGTTTCTCATATAAGAGAAACCATGTGATATGTAAACTTGAGTGTCTGATTTATTTCACTTAACACTATGGTCTCAAAGTGCATCCATTTGCTGTTGATTTCTAGTGCACTATTGTCTGGTAATATGTGTAGGGTAATTTTGATTCTTTTGCATTTACTTAAGCTTGCTTTATGGGCTAGAATGTAGTCTATTTTGAAGGAAGTCCTACTTGCTGCTGAGAAGAATGTGTGTTCTGTTGTTGGATGGAACATTCTGTGGTTACCTATAAAGTACATTTGTTCAGAGGTTTGTTTCAACTCTGATATTTCTTTGTTGATTTTTTTCTAGTTGATCTCTTTGTGACAGTGGGGTATTGAGGTCCACCATTATAATTGTGTTGGTGTTATCTGATTTTTTTTTTGTCTAGTAGTATTTGCCTTATGAAGTTGAGAGTGCCATGTTTGGTGCATTTATGTTTATACTTGTTATTTCTTCTTGTTGAATTGTTCCCTTAACTAACATGTAGTGACCTTATTTGTTTCTTCTGATCAGCTTTGGCTCGAGATCCACTTTTTCGGAAATTAGGATAGTTACTTCTGCTTTTTTCTAGATTCTTGTTGCATGGAATATGTTTTCCATCCTTAGATTTGTAATTATGAACATCTTTTTGGATTAAGTGTGTGCCTTGTATATGGTATAACATTGGATTTTGTTTCTTCATCCATTCTGCTTTTTGACTGGGGAATTGAGACCATTCACACTGAAAATTATTACTGAAAGGTATTGACTTATTCCTGTCACTGCATTATTTTCATGTTGCTGATTTCTCAGTTTTTTCCCTTCTACTTAACTTCTCACACTGCCAAGTGTATTGATTCTACTTGCTTATGGGCATTATTGGCTTCATTGTCTGTTTCTAGGTTATTTGTGGGAATATTTTGAAATGCTGGGTTTGGTGGTCAAGAATTTCTTGATGTGCTTTTTGTCATAAAAATACCTTATTTCTTCATCAGTTCTGAAGGAAAGTTTTGCATGACATATAAAGCTGGGTTGGAAGTTGTTATCTTTTATATAGCTGGAAATATTTCACTGAAAACCCTCCTGGCCTTTCAGGTTTGTATCTGCTATATTTTTAATGAGTTTACCTTTATAAGTGATATATTATTTTTCCTCTAACAGCTTATAAGATTTCTTCTGTGTGTTAGACTTCTGGTATTTTCACTATTATGTGACATGGAGAAGTTCTCTTTTGATCATGGCTCTCTGAAGTTCTTATGCCTCCGTTATCTGTGTATTTATTTC